ATTAGAATTTTTTTTGTTATCAAATTAAGAGATTAAAAGAAATGTTTTATGTTTAATGAGTTATCATTAGAGAACTCACTAATTTTTTGTCTCCACATTTAGTTTGAATTTAATTGCTAAAACTACAAGAATTGCTTATTATTGTAAATGTTAAAAAAAAAAAAATTCAAGATGGTAAATATAAAGTATAAATATTTGGGACTAGAACATTTTTTCACAAAAGTTCAGGGGGCGGCTGTCCCCTTGTTTATACACGGCTCCGTCCTGATTTTATTTTTATATATTAATAAAATTTTATTTTTATTATGAAAAAAGATTTTTAAATTTAATATTTGTAATTATTTTACCATCAGGCAAGAAAAAGGATTTTCTCATGAAAAAGATTTTTGTTTTATTCTTTAAAATTTGTTCAATTATAACACCAAACGCAGCGACGCCACTTCTCGGAAGCCCACACATTGTATCCACAGCCGAGAATTTAAGAAAGGCAGCCAAATTCAGTCCAACCAAACCCCCTTATTTCTAACTTACAAAACTCTGAGATTCTCGAATTCCTCAGAAAACAAGAAAAACCCATCAACATAATCCTTTCTTTCAATCCTGGGTTTCCTCTCTTTCTCATAAAAAGGCCAAAAATTTCCCATTTTTTATGAGCTTCGCTGTGTTTGGAATTAAGATCCCTGGTACTTGCTGTTCGATTGATCTCAATTCCCAGGATCCAAGCTTCTTGGTTTCTTAGGTGGCGTGTGATTTTAATGGCAGTGGTATCAGCATGAGGTACCCTTTATTCCATATTTAATGTTTAAGTTCACTTTCGGTTCTATATATTTTATGCAGTGATCAATCTGAAATTTGGGGTTAGTTTGTTGGGTTTATGAGTAGAAGCAGAGCGGATAGAAAGAAATTGATGTTTTGTTTTTATGTAATTTGTAGTTACTTGAAGTCAATACGATCTGCTCCGTCTAGTTTAGTATAAAAGTACATTCAGTTTATAAACCTTTTACTATTGGTATTGGGAAAATTAGAGATTCAAGATTTAATTTCACTTCTTTCTCAGAGTCTCTAGATTGACATACTATTTATATTCATCTTTCTTCTGCTGCTAATTTGCACTAGCGATTGAATCGGAAATTTTATTTTGAGTGTTTGAAATGCTTGACTTTATGCTGGTTCTTGAAGGAAAATGTGGTGTTTTCGGATACAGAAATGAGTTCTCTGATTTTGTTTATTAGAATTATCTAAGGTGGTCTTGAAGGAAAATGAGGGTATTCATCAACTTTGCCAGTAATTATTTATGGCTTTGGTTTGAAGTTTGATGGTAACTTATTCTAAATATGACCCCTGTTCCTCAGAATTGCCTTGTGGCATTGCATCCTTATGTCGTTTATTTATTAGTCTTATCTTTTCAATTCTCTGCAGTTTCATTTTCTGATCAAATACTGATGGCCAATCTGAATACACCTAGAGCTATAGTCTCTGCTGCAACATCTGAACAAAAGGAAACACCTGCAGTAGATTCAAACTTGAACATGCTTCAACCCACTATGAACCAGCATAACAGAAGCTCTTCTGATGGTCCTGTTGCTATACTTTGGGATATTGAAAACTGTCCTGTCCCAAGTGGTGTTCGCCCTGAAGATGTTGCTGGGAATATAAGAATGGCTTTGCGGGTGCATCCTGTCATTAAAGGGGCTGTTACAATGTTCTCTGCATATGGTGATTTCAATTCCTTTCCCAGACGTCTTAGAGAGGGTTGCCAGAGAACTGGTGTTAAACTCATTGATGTTCCAAACGGAAGGAAGGATGCTGCTGACAAGGCTATCTTGGTTGACATGTTTTTGTTTGCTCTTGACAACCATCCTCCTTCTTCTATAATGCTGATTTCAGGGGATGTAGATTTTGCTCCAGCCCTTCACATACTTGGTCAGCGTGGGTATACTGTCATTCTTGTTATTCCTTCCGGTGTCGGTGTTTCTTCTGCCCTGTGCAATGCTGGTAAATTTGTCTGGGACTGGTCGAGTGTGGCTCATGGGGAAGGCTTTCTTCCACCTTCAAAAGCTTTAATGCATACCCATGGAGGACCAGCTGAGCTTGCTGGGTATTTCATGGGGTGTCATATCAATGACAATCTAGATTGTCCAAATGAGGAAGAATCAATAGTTTATAGAGGCATTTCACAAAGCTATTACAACTCAAGAGATTTCTCAATTATGTCACAATCTTTATCTGAGTATACAAGTAATCCTTCTATCACTGGACCTACCTTCCCTGCAACTTTCAGGTCACACAGCCTCCCATCTGGGTTGAATGAAGCATCAGGATGTCCTGTCTCTTATGATCAAAATGATACTATGTGGGTACAGCCTGGAGACATAAATGGTCTGAA